TTCCTCATGAAAGTTTTAGCTTCTATTACTGTAAGGCATCTGTGGACTTTGGTAGTCAAGATTGGGCCTCTTAAACATCAGAACAGACCAAGAAAGTCTCCAATAATTTTCCTCCACTTCACAAAACATGTCAAGTTCTTTTGTTTAGGACAATGGGCAAGAAAATTCAGACATATCCTAGGGAGATTAAGGAAAATATTTCATGGAGGAAATGGCTATGGTTGTGTGAGATGGAAAGCTGCAGATTTGGGTTCCAAGTGTGGACACAAATCAGGAGGCTTGTGGTTGCCTGGCAACTGCACTGAGCACTGAGCCCTGAGTGGCTCAGAAGCATTTTGAGCTAGACTGCAGATAAAAGGATGCATGTTTGCAGGAGGAGACCTGAGTCAGAATGCTCAGTGTTGCCATGGAGACCTTAGTTGGCTATTAAAACTTGCAGTGCAAGAGTACAAAAAGGTGGATTTTCAAAGGCCTGCTATCCAACAGGATTTTCTCTGAAGGCTTCATTGCTGTAAGTTTGCTGATGGAAATGTGTGCAAATCTGCCCATGAATACAGTGCCAATGGGACATGAGACATCTTAGGGCTTGGCCGGGGATCTCTGCAATGACCTGCCTTTGAGAATCTGTTTTTCACTTGAGATGTCTGTCATTTGGCTGAGTGCTGTCCCATAAGGTCTTCAATGAAGACTTTTTGGCCTGATGACCACACAGTGGAAAACCTGCCTGTAAAATTTCTCAGCAGAAAAAATGCTGCAAGCAAAGTCTACTTGAAATCAGAGACTGTAGATGCAGCTGAATTTCAAGGGCAGTCATCCAAAACAATAAAACTACAACTGTGCATGATTTCAGCATGTTTAATAGATCAATATGTATAGGACTATGCAGAGTCTGGATGTCAGGATACACAACAGAACTAATGAGCAATGAAAAATAGGAAAGACCAAGTAAAGCACAGAGGAAAGAGGGAGATGCAGACAATGTGTTATAAAAATCTTTGAGAATGAAAGGGAAACTAAAATCTCATGATTCTTTGATCAGGGCATTGAAGCAAAACTCTCATGTTTGTTGTCATATGTGTAGTATCCTGCCTTGGCCTGTGGAGCACAAGGCAGGACATCATCAAACAACCCAACTGAGAGACACAATAGCACAGAATAAAACCAACTGAGACTAGTGTATCCATTTCCTTAGACAGAATTTAGGGGATGGTACCAAGTAGCAATCCTAGAGAATTTCCAATTTGTCAAGGTTCCACAGATCAGAATGTTACCTGACAGGTTCATTGGAATATTGTTTTGATAGTCCCTGAGATAGAGGGTCTAGGGAAAGCAGAGCTCAGAATAAAAATCTTTCCTATATGTTAATAACAGGTGTTTTAGAAAGCAGTGAAACATTATGGTTTCCAGCTTTTTTACTTGGTTGGTTTGTTGTCCTAATTTCTTCTGGTTTTCTAATTTTATGACATGAAAGAGGAAAGTCCACCCTCCCATTTATAGGGCTACTCTTTTATAAAACTGAGGGAATCAATCAATATGGTATAATACATGATAACAGTTTTTCTCCCCCAAAAACCTGAAAGTCTCCCAGATGTTGACACTTTTAATCTGAACACGGTATGGAGCTAAACACCATTTTATGAAACCTTTGGAACATTAAGTTTAAATTTCCATTGTCCATTCTGGACCACCTTTGACTGCAGGCCTGAAGATATGATTAATAGAGCAGCAGTTTAGCACAAGTCAAAGCAAACCAAAAATATTGTAGGGAAAATCATAGTTGCCAAGGTGCTCAGCATAGGCATAAACACTGTTTAGTGTAAAGGTGGCCAAATCTGCTCCACACATGAGAGCACCTTCCTGCAGGATCATTGACTGGAATGATAAAACATAAAACATTCCAAAGGTTTGATAAAAAGGGGTTTAACTCCACCCTGATCTCAGATTAAAAGTGTCAACATCTGGCAGTCTTTCAGATTTAAATGGGAGAAAAACTATTGTCATAAATTATATCACCTGGATTGATTGCATCAGAGCTGTAGGAAAATACCCCAATGACACAATAGAAATGCACGAGGCTTGTTACCTGGAACAATGCCCAAAAGTGCTGTGTAAGGATTTGGATACACTAGATTATTGGTGATATTATTCTGTGCGATTATGACTTCCAATAGTGTTACTTGATTTCATGCCTTGTGCTCCACTGGCCAAGGCAGAAAAATGCATATGTGACAATCAACATGAGTTGATTCATGCAGTATTATACACTGATCAAATCATCATGAAATTTTAATTTCCTTTTGATCTTCAAAGATTTTTACATCAAATTGATTGATTCTCCCACTTTACTATGTTCTATAGACATGCTAGGGGTATTTTCATTATTTTCAAGTGGATGACCTTGACATTGAGCTTCAACCACAGTCTCTGATTTCAAATACCAGTTGCTTGCAGCACTTTTGTAACTGCAAAATTTCACAGCCCGTTTTTCTACTGCATAGTCATGAGTCCAACAAGGCTTCCCAATGAGGCTATGAAAGAGGACTCAGCCAAATGACAGACATCTCAAGTGGAAAACAGATCCTCTAGGGAAGATCATTGCAGAGATCCCTTGTAAGGTCCTGGGATATGTCATGTCCCATTTACATTGTATCACTTAGCAGATTTGCAGGCTTTTCCATCTACAATCTTTCAGCAATGAAGCCTTCAGAGAAAATCCTGTTGGATACCAGACCTCCGAAAAGCCACCCTTTTGAAATATTGCCTTGTGTGTTGCTCTGTGCAACTAACATCTCCTTGGCAAGCTTCAGCATTCTGACTCAGATCCCCTCCTGCAAACATGTATCCTAGAACACGGTGTCTAGCTCACAATGCTGCTAAGCCAATCATCACCCAGTGTGGTTGACAGGCAACCACAAGTTTCCTGTTTTGGTCCATGTTGGGACCCAATTCTGCAGTTTTCACCTTATACAACCACAGCCTTTCCATCCATGCAATATTTTCCTTAAACTCTCTAGGTTGTGTCTGAATATTCTTTCCAGTTGTCTTGATCAAAAAACTTGGCATAATTTGTTCACTGGAGGAAAATTATTGGAGACTTACTTGCTCTGTCCTTACATCTAAGGGGAAGCGTCTTGCTCAAATTTGATTCCCCCAGTCCACTGATTTCTTTCAAACTGATGGAGACTAAATCTTTTATGAGGAAGAATGGACATCCCACAGTGACTAGGCTTTGGCTATCTTTTTAAGGGCTTGGAGTTTAAACACGCAAGGCCTATGCAGTGTGCCCTCAATCATTGCCTCCATACTTTTATCAGTTAGTTGGACCTTAAATCCTGCAACCCCTGGAGAAATCAATAAGCGAAGGAGAACGTCAATACTGCATGAATGTTTGGAGTCCCTGCTTCATCTTTTCTGGTTTCTTATGGTTCACATTTCTCTAAGCCCAATTTAGAGGAGGTCGGCAGCTCTGAGAGCATAACACTGCACACACTAGCCATGAGGTCCTGGCTCTATACACAATCCAGCAACTTCCTAGAGAACCCATGATCAGCAGATTTTTTTTCAAACTTTAAATGAATCAGATGGAATGGTAAACCTTAGAAACAGGATCCAAATCCCCCTTGATCACAGTGGCCCAGATATGTCTTTGGGGTCTGAAGTAATTTGTCTCCACAATTTATGAAGGCATCCCAATGCCCATGCCGTGATATTCTTAGAAGTCCTGTGAAATCACACAAAGATCAATCAGCAGAATTGGTCCATCAGGCTTTAGGTATATCCCCCTTTTTGTCTTGGTTCCCTTCTCCCAAGGCACTCCATTTCTCTTGGGGTGGGATACAAGCCCAAGAGGCAAGGGTGTGGCTGGCCTTCCTAAGGTGTGTCATGGGATAAATAAGCCCCAGGTGATCAAGGTCCAAGGACACTGTGTCAAAGGGACAGGATGAGGAATGATTGCAGGTGCCCAAATTAATGGGGTTATAGCAGGGATCTCAGTGGCTATGGGGGACATGATGTATCAGTCTCTAGGCTGCAGCCTGCAGCTTCTGACCTGGCACCCATTTTAACAGTTTTGACACTGGGCAGCCAGGCAATTGTGTGCTCTACATTGGACTCAGCTCTGTGTCTCTGTTTTCCTTTACTCATGGGAGAGAGTACATTACAAAAATTTTCAGGGATAGGAATGTTGTACCTAGCACATAGATGATACACCTGATAGGTTAGAAACCAAAAATTCCTTAAAAGCTCATGGAATTTGAATAAAACTGACACAACAAGATTTTTCATGTCCATCTCTCTATGGGAAAGCTTTTCTCTACTATTTGGTAGAAATATCTGTTACTTTGTGAGGTCAACATGCATGTGGCATAAGGGAAATCACTGTTTTCCTCACCCCGATTGTAACCAAACCCTGGGTCAGTTGGCTCGCTTAACCCAGGAGAACACTGAGAAGTGGACAGCAACTTTTTCTCACTTCTTGGATTTCAGAGGACACACGTTAGACTAACACTGTGAAACTTAAGGGAAGTGTGATATCTCTGGACTTTAGCAAGGCTGCTCAAACCCCAGGTTACTCAAAACCTTAGAAAAGCTGAAAGAGATTAAAAGACAATGGGCCTGTCCACAGTGGAATAGGGTTGCCTCTGAAGTGGAGCTTTGTGGAAACAGCAATTACAAGGGAGGATTGAACACCTCAAACGGAGTTGAAATTTTTATTGTCTAGCCAAGAAAGACATTGACTGCAGGCCTAAAGATGGGGTTGAATGAGCAACAGGTTAGCACAAATCACAGGGAACTAAAGCTTTGTAGGGAGAATGATATTTGCCCAGGAGCCCAGAGTAGTCACAATCAGTATTTGGTGTCTGGGTAGTCAGAACATTCCTTCACGAGAAAGCATCTCCTGACAGGGACCTTGACTGAAAAGATAAAATATAAAACATTCCCAAAGTTTGGTAGAAAGATGTTGAGCACAAAGCTGTACTTAGATGAACAGTGACAGCATCTGGAAGGCTTTCAGCTTTTATTAGGAGAAAATCAATTATCATATATTACATCACCTTGATTGATTCCTTGAAAGCTGTAGGAGAAGTAACCCAAAAATGGGAGTTTGGATTTGCATGTCTCATGAAGTTAAAGGTAGAAAAGCAAAAGAAATTAGCAAAATCAACCAACCAACAAAGTCCAAAAAGTGAAAATCAAAGTGTTTCAATGCTTTTCTAACCAACAATGGAATTAATATCTATGAAAGATTTTTATTCTAAGCCCTGCCATTCCCAGAACCTGTATCTCAAAAGCTGTCAACCCATATTCCAAAGAACATGTAAAAAAGCTTTCAGATTCTTTGGTCCAAGACAAAGGAAATGCTCTAGGCTTGATACAAAGTTCAGTCCCCAAAAGTGCTGTCTAAGGAAATGGATGCACAGGTTTTTGGATTGTTATATTCTGTGCTATTTCTGTCTTCCAATAGGGTTACTTGATGAAATCCTGCCTTGTGCTACACTGACCGAGGCAGAAGTCTACACATGTGACAACAAACATGACAATTTCCCTTCAGTACCCTGATCAAATTATCATGACATTTTAATTTCTTTTATTCTCAAAGTTTTTAACCTCAGATTGACTGGCTCTCCCTCATTCCTGTGTTTTTTCCTTCATCTATGTTCTCTTCCATGTGTTTTAGTTCTGTTCTCAGTCTTGGCATCCAACTTCCTGCATATTCCCACACTTATTCACCTATGAAACTTGCTGAAAACATGCTCAGGGATAGATTCATTGTTTTAGGATATCTGCCCTTGAAGTTAAATTTTAGCCTCAGTCTCTGATTTCAAATCCCATGCGCTTGAAGAGGGTGTGATTCTGAAAAATTTCATGGCCAGTTTTTCTACTGTGAGAGAATGAGGCCAGCAAGGCTTTAATCAAGAGGTTAGGACTCCGCAAATGGCCAGACATCTCAAGTAGAAAACAAATCCTCAACGGAAGATCATAGAAGAGATCCCCTGCCAGGTCCGGAATATCTCGTGTCCCATTGGCACTGTAACCATGGGAAGATTTGCAGGCATTTCCATCCACAAACATTGAGGAATGAAACCTTCAGAGAAAAAAATATTGGATACCAGACCTCTGAAAAATCCACCCTTTTCAAATCTTGCCCTGCATGGTTTTGTGTGCAACTAAGATCTCCATGGCCATGCTCAGCATTCTGTCTCAGGTCCTGTACTGCAAACAAGGATCTTAGAACCTGGGGTCTAGCTCATAGTGCTCCTCAGCCAATCACTGCCTAGTGTGGTTTCCTGGCAACCACAAACCTAGAAATTGGTGTCCACAGATGCGACCCAACTCTGCAGCATTCCATCCCACACAAATATTGCAAAGGTGTAGTATTTTCCTTATATTCCCTACATTGTTTCAAATTTTCTCTCCAGGTTCATGATCAAAAGAACTTGACACACTTTGCCATCTGGAGGAAAATTATTAGAGTATTTCTTACTCTTTCCGGGCATCTAAGGGGCCCAATCTGAACTCCCACAGTCTGTTGATTTTTTCAGAATTATTGAGAGCATATTTCTCAAAAGGATTGAAGGAAATGCCACTAGGACAAGGCTTTGGCTCAGTTTTTGAGGGCTTGAACTGTAAGCCTGCAACCCTATGCACAGTCAGCATGGAACATTGCCTCCATAGAAGTATCAGCTGGCCCTGAAACTCAGAAACCACTGGAGAAGTCACTAAGTGAAGAACAACCCCTGCACAGCATGAATGTTTGGAGTGCCTGCTTCATCTTTCCATCTTTAATATGGTTCACATTTCTCTGAGCCCATTAGAGGAGGTCTGCAGCTCAGCCAGCATAAGACTGGTTCAATACATAAGCCAGCAACATCCTAGAGAGGCAGAGATCAGCAGGTTTTCTCAAACTTCAAATGTATTCAGGTGGAAGAGAAAACCTTAGAAATTGAATCCAAATCCCACTTCCTCTCAGTGCCCCATACATGTCTTGGAGGTATGAAATAATTTGTATCCACAACTCATGAAGGGATCACAAAGGCCTATGCTGGGATATTCTTAGAAAACCTGACAAATGACACAATGATCCATCAGGAGAATGTGTGCATCAGGCTTTAGGCATATGCTCTTTTTGTCTTCACTCCCCTTGCCAGGGCACACCATTTCTCTTGATATGGGATGCAAGGACCAGACGCAAAGGTGTGCCTGCCCATCCTAGGGTGTGTCATGGGATGACTAAGCCCCAGATGAACAAGGTTCAATGAAACTGGATCATGTGGACAGGATGAGGAATGATTTCAGGGGCCTCAGTTAATTGGGGACATAGATGGGAGCTGACTGCTTACGGGGGACACAACACATCAGGCCCTAGGCTGCAGCCTGGGTCTTCTGACCTGGCAATATTTTAACAGTTTTGACATTGGAAAGCTGGGTTATTGTGTGCTCTAAATTTGACTCTTCTGTGTGTTTCTGCTTTCCTATTCTCATGGGTGAGAGAACATTACAACAGTTTTCAGTGGCTGGAGTGTCTTACCTAGGATATCGATGATCCACATAATAGGTTAAAAGCCAAGATTTCCTTAAAAGCCCATGGAGTTTGAAGAAAACTGACACAACCTTGAGATTTTTCATGTCCATCTCTCTTTGGTAGACCTATTCTCTACTAGTTAATAGGAATTTCTCTTACCTTGAAGTCAACCTGCACATAGCATTAGAGAAATTCTCCTTTCCTCACCCTGATGGAAAACTCACCATGGGTCAGTTTGCCTACTTAACCCAGTGGAAAACGGAGAATGGGAAGGCAACATTTTCTCACTGCTTGAATTCCAGAAGGCCCACGTTAGAGTAACACTGTGAAACTTCAAGGGAATTGTGCTCTCTGGACCACAGCCAAGCTGGTCAAACCCCAGGTTACAGAACCTTAGAAAAGCTGAAAGTGAGGAAAAGACAATTGTCCTCCCCACAGTGGAATAGGGTGGCCTTGGAACATCAAATAAAAGGGAGTATTATACTCCTAAAAATGAAGTTGAAATTTGATTGTCCAGCCCAGAAAGACATTGACTGCAGACCTAAATAAGGTATTGAATGAGCAGCAGGTTTGCACAGATCACAGGGAACAAAAAACTTTGTAGGGAGAAAGATATTTCCCGAGGAGCTCAGAGTAGTCAAAAACAGTATTTAGTATCAAGGTGGTCAAAACTCTCGCTCATAAGAAAGCACCTTCCTTCAGGATTATCGACTGTAAATATACAAGATAAAACATTCCAAAAGTTTGATAAAACAGTGTTTAGCTCCACACTGTGCTCTGATTAAAAGTGTCAACATCTGGCAGACTTTCAGGTTTTAATGTGAGAAAAACTATTATCATGTATTATATCACCTTGATTGATTCCTTCAGACCTGTAGGAGAATTCCCCTAAAAATGGGAGTGTGGATTTGTCAGTTTACAAAGTTAAAGTTAGAACACCAGAAGCAATTAGAAAAATAAACCAACAATCAGAGTCCACAATGGAAAACCAGAAGGTTTCACTCTTTTCTAAACACACCTGGTACAAATATCCAGGAAAGATTTTTATTCTGAGCTATGGCATTGCAGGACTTTCTATCAGAAAACTTTCAGCTATGAAGCCTTCAGAGAAAATCCTGTTGGATGCCAGGGCTGGGTAAATCCATGATTTTGAAATCGTGGGTTGCAGGTTCCTCTGTGCAATTAAGATCTTCAAGGCAAAGCCCAGCATTCTGATGGAGGTCTCCTGCAAACATGTATCATAAATCCAGGGGTCTAGCTTACAGTGTTGTTCAGTCAATCATCACCCAGTGTGCTTGCCATGCAACCATGAGCCTACTGATTTGTGTCCATAGCTTTGACCCAAATTTGAAGCTTTCCTCCTCACACAATCACAGCCTTTCTTCCCATGCAATATTTTCCTATATCTTCCTGGTTTGGGTCCAAAATTTCTTTCCAGATCAAAAGAACTTGACCTATTTTGTGAAGTGGTGGAAAATTATTGGAGACTTTCTTGCTCTGCCCTGATGTCAAAGGGGCCCAAAGTTGACTCCCACATTCTATTGATTTCTTTCAAACTCAAGGAGCTTAAAACTTTCATGAGGAGAATGGGAATCCCACAGTGACTTCAATTTGGCTCAGTTTTTGAGGGATTGGAATGTAATTCTTAAAGCTCTACACACAGTCTGTTGTGGAGTATTGCCTCCATGGAATTATTAGTTGGCCCTAAAAGCTGGCAAGCACTGGAGAAGTCCATAAGCAAAGGGTAACACAAGAATTTCATGAATATTTGGAGTCCCTGCTTCATCATTCCTGATTTCTTCTGGGTCACATTAAGTAGAGCTCAGTTCATAAGAGGTCTGAAGCTATGCCAGCAGAATACTGCACACACTGGACATGAGGACCTGGCTCAATACATAAGCAAGAAACATCCCAGAGAGCCCATAATCACCAAGTTTTCTCAAACTTCAAATGTATCCTGGTGGAAGAGCAATCCTTCAAAATGGGATCCAAATCCCCTTTCCTCAAAATGACCCAGATATGTCTTGGAGGAATGCAGTATTTTGTCTCCACAACTCATGAAGAAATCCCGATAGCTGATGTCTAGATATTCTTATAAGACAAGTCAAATGAAACAATTAATCACTTAGTAGTGTGTGTGCATCAGCATGGTTACATGCCCCAGTTTTATCTTGGCCGGCCTTGCCCAGAACTCTCCATTTTCATGGGATGAAATACAAGGCCCAGAGCCAAGGGTGTGGTTTGGCATCCTAGGGTGTGTCATGGGTTGAGTATGCCCCAAGTGAAAAATGTCCAAGGACTCTGGGTCATATGGACAGAATGAGGAATGAGTACAGTGGCCTGAGTTAATCTGAACAAAGAAGGGAGCTGAGTGGCCATGGGGGCACAAAGTATCAGGCTCTAGGGCACAGAATGCAGCAATTGCCTCTGCACCAACTTGAACAGATTTGACAGTGCCCTGCTGGGCGATTGCTTGCACTGAGTGGGACTCAGCTGTGCATTTCTGTTTTCCTTTTCTCATGGAGGAGATAATATTGCAACATTTTTCAGTGGCAGGAGTGTCTTACCTAAGAGATAGGTTGTCCCCTTGATAGTTGGGAAGCCAAAAATTGCTTAAGAGCCCAAGGAGTTTGAAGCAAACTAACTCAACGTTGTGATGTTTCATGTCCATCACTCTTTGGGAAAGATTTTCTGTACTATTTGGTAGGAATTTCTGTTACTTTGTGAGGTAAACCTGCACAGGGCATCAGGGAAATCTCTATTGTCTTCTTCTCACCGTGCTTGAAACCACAGCCTGTGTCAGTTCACTTACTTTCCTCAGTAGAAAACTGAGAAGGGGACAGACAGCAATATTTACACACTGCTCTATATTCAGAGCATCCGCATTGGAGTAACACTGAGAAACACCAAGGGAAATATGTCTCTTGACAACAGCAAGTCTGGACAAACCCCTTGTTACTCAAAACCTTGGAACATCTAAAAGTGAGAAAAAGGCAATGGGTCTCTACATATTGTAATTGATTCATCTCTGAAGCAGAGTTTTGGAGAAAAAGGAATTACAATGGAGGATTGAATACCTCCAATGGAATTGAAATTACATTGTCCAGCCCAGAAAAACATTGGCTGCAGGACTGAAGATGTGATTAAATGAGCAACAGGTTAGCACAGATCACAGGGAACCAACAATTTTGTAGGGAGAAAGATATTTGCCCAGAATCTCAGAGTTGTCACAAACAGGATTTGGTGTCAAGGTGGTCAAAACTTCCCTTCATAAAAAAGCAACTTCCTGCAGGTTCATTGACTGGAAAAATAAAAGATAAAACATTCCAAATGTTTCATTAAAAAGTGGTTTAGCTCGACCATATTAATGTTTTTGGTTGGATCATTGAACACAACTGTTTGCAGTCTCTCTGTTTGAATGTCCACTTTGAATGCTTTGATACTGTGACTTGAGCAAATATCTCTAAGATGATAATGTGTAATCTGTTAACTGGTGATTTCTTACTTTTTTTGTAGTTCTGTATTACTTGCACCCTTACACTGCTTTGTTTTGTTTTGTTTTTTTCTCTTTTTCCTTTTAAATAAAATTTTTAATAAAGTTGTTTAGCTCAACACCATGCTCAGTTAAAAAATGTCAACATCTGGCAGCTTTTCTGGATTTAATGGGAGAAAATTATTATCATGTATTATACACCTTGATTTGTTTCTTCAGAGCTGTAGGAGAATACCCCCCCAAAATGTCACTGTGGACTTGGCTGTCTCATTAAGTTAAAGTTAGAAAATCACAAGCAATTAGAAAAGCAAACCCACCAATAAACTCCAAAAGGAAAACCAAAATGTTTAGCTGCTGTTTAAATCATCTGGCATAATATCTAGAAAAGATTTTTATTCTGAACTCTGCCATCCCCAGAACCTTTATCTCAGGGACAGTCAAAACAATATTCCAAAGAATCTGTCAAGTAACATTATGATTTGTGGAACCATGACAGAATAGATATGCTCTAGGCTTGATAACTTGTACACTCACCAAAAGTGCTTTCTAAGGATTTGGGTGCACTAGTTTTGTGGTGGATATATCATGTGCTATTGTGTCTTCCATTAGGGCTATTTGATGATCTCCTCCCTTGTGCTCAACTGGATACGGCAGGAGACTACACATGTGAAAACAAACATGAGAATTTCACTTCAATACACTGATCATATCATGAAATTTTCATTTGCCTTTCATGCTCAAAGATTTTTACATCAGATTGACTCACTCTCCTTGTATCCTTTGTTCTTTCCTTGGTCTTTCCTCTCTTCATGTTGATTTGTTCTTTTCTTGTACTGATATTCAACCTCCTATATATTCACCTGTTAATCATGCAGAAAACATGATCAAGGGTAGTTTCATTGTTTTCGGATGGCTTCCCTTGAAAATCAGCTTAATCCACACTCTCTGATTTCGAATACAATTTGCTTGCTGAGAATTTGCATCTGAGAAATTTTGCAGCCATTTCTTCTACTGCATGGTCATGAGGCCAACAAGGCTACATGGAAGAGGTTATGAAAGAGGACTCAGCCACATGATAGGCATCTGAAGTGGAAAACAAGGGAAGGTCATTGCAGAGATTCCCTGCCAGGTTCTGTAATATTTCATGTCCCACTGCCACTGTGTACATTGGCAGATTTGCAGGTATTTCCTACTGCAAACTTTCAGCTGTGAAACTTTCAGAGAAAATCCTGTTGGATAGCTGGCCTGAGGAAATCCACCCTTTTGAAATCTTGTCCTGCTAGTACTTCTGGGCAATTAAGATCTCTTTGGCATGGCTCAGCATTCTGACTCACGTCTCCTGCTAACTTGTATCCTAGAACCTGGTATCTAGCTCACAGTGTTGCTCAGCCAATCATGGCAGAGTGGTTGCCTAATAACCACAAGCCTTCTGATTTGTGTCCACAGCTTGGACCAAAATTTGAACCTTTCCCCCTCACACTGCCACAGCCATACCATTCATGCAAAATTTTCCTTAACCTACCCAGTTTGTGTTGAAATTTCTTTGTATTTGTTCTGATCAAAAGAACTTGAGATTTTTTGTGAAGTGGAGGAAAATTATTAGAGTCTTTCTTATTCACTCCTGATGTCTAAGAGGCCCAAACTTGATTCTCACAGTGCACTGATAGCTTTCAAAATGATGGAGAACAAAACTTTCATGAGGGAGAATGGAAATCCCACAGTGACTGGGCTTTGCCTTGGTTATCGAGGGCGTGGTCTGTAAGCCTCAAACTCTTACACATTGCCTATTCTGGACTATTGCCTCTATGGTAGTATCAGTTTGCCCTGAAAACAAGCAACCACTGGAGAAGTCTCTAAAGGAAGGAGAACTGAGGCACTGCATGAACATTTCGATTTCCTGTTTCATCTTTTTGGTTTCATGTGGCTCGTATTTCCAGAGTCAAACTAGGAGGTGCCTGAAGCTATGCCAGCAGAATACTGCACACACTGGCCATGAGGACCTGGCTCTATACATAAGCAAGCAACATCCCAGAGGACACATGATCATCAGGCTTTCTACAAGGACCAGAGGCAAGGGTGTGGTTTGTCTTCCTCTGTTGTGTCATGGGATGACTATGCCCCAGGTCCAAGTACACTGGGTCATATGGACATAATGACAAGTAAGTGCAGGGAACTGAGGAAATGTGGACAAAGAAGGGAACAGAGTGGTAATGTGGAATGCACATCTTCAGGCTCTGTCCTGTAGAATGCATCATCTGTACCCACACCCACTGGAACAGTTTTATAAGTGGCCTGCTGGGACAATTGTGTGCTATCAATTGGACAACATTGTGCATTTTTGCTTTCCTTTTCTCATGAATGAGAGAACTTTACCAGTCTGTTCAGTGACAGAAGTGTCTTATATATAAGAGATAGGTGGTCCCCTTGACAGGTTAGAAGCCAAAACTTCTTCAAGAGCCCATGGTGTTTGAAGGGAAATGACATGACCTTGAGATTTTTCATCTTTATCTCTCTTTGGGAAAGCATTTCTCTACTATTTGGTAGGAATTTATGTTAATTTGTGACATCATTTTGCACATGGCATTAGGGAAATCTCAACTTTACTCACCCTGCTTGAAAACAACACCCTTTGTTAATTGGCTTGCCTTACCCTGTAGTATACTCAGAATGGGACAGCAAAATTTTATCACTGCTTGAACTTCAAAGGACCCATGTTGGAATAACACTGAGAAACTCCAAGGGAAGTTTGCTGTCTCTTGCCAAAAGCAAAGCTGGGAAATACCCTACTTACTCAAAAACTTGGAAAAGCTGAAAGTGAGCAAAAGCCAATGGGTCTCTCCATAATGGAATTGGGTCACCTATGAAGCAGAGATTTGAAGAAACAGTAATTAAAAGGGGGACTGAACACCTCCATTGGAGCTGAAATTTGTATTGTCCAGCCCAGAGAGACATTGGCTGCAGGCCTGGAGATGTGATTAAATGAGGAACAGTATAGCACAGATCACAGGGAATTGAAATTTTTTTACGCAAAACATAATTGCCCAGGATCTCAGAGTAGTCACAAACAGTATTTGGAGTCAAGGTGGTCAAAACTTCTCCAAAAGGAAGCAGTTTCCCACAGGATCACTCAATGGAATGCTAAAAGATAAAGCATTCCATAGGTTAGATTAAAAGGTGTTTAGTTCCACACCGCACTCATATTGAAAAGATAAACATCTAGATGTATTTCAGGTTTTAATGTGAGAAAAACTATTATCATATATTATGTCAACTTGATTGATTCCTTTGGAGCTGTAGGAGAATACCCCCATAAATGGGAATGTGGACTTCTCTGTCTCACAAAGTTAAAGTTGAAAAACCAGAAGCAATTAGAAAAACAAACCAACCAACAAAGTCCAAAACGTGGATACCAAAAGTATTCAGAGTTTTCCAAAAACAACTATTATTAGTATCAAGCAAACATTTTGATTCAGAGCTCTGCCATCCCCAGAACCTCTATCTCAGAGACTATAAAAACAAAATTCCAAAAACATGTCAAGTAACCTTCTGATTTTTGGAAACATGACACAATTGAAATGCTCTAAGCTTTGATACCAGTACAAACCACAAAAGTGCTGTCTAAGGATTTGGATACACTAGTTTTGTGTGGTTTTATTCTGTGCTATTATATTTTCCAATAGAGTTGATGGTCTCCTGCCTTGTGCTCCACTGGCCAAGGCTGGAGATGACACATGTGAAAACAAACATGAGAATTTCACTTAACTACCCTGAACAAACCATCATGAATGTTCATTTTCCCTTTCATCCTCAAAGTGTTTTACATCAGAATAACTGGTTGTCCCTATTTCCTATGTACTTTCCTTTGTCTTTCTTCTCTTCCATGTTCATTAGTTCTGTTCTGAGTGCTTATATCCAACCTCCTGCATAATCACACACATGTTCACCTGTTAAACATGGTGAAAACATTCTGTAGGGTAATTTTATTGTCCGATGGCTGCCCTTTGAAATTCAGCTTCAGCCTCAGTCTCTAATTTCAAATACCATTTGCTTGCATCAGTTTTGCTGCTGAGAAATTTCATAGCCAGTTCTTCTACTGCATAGTCACGAGACCAACAAGGCTTCACTAAGAGGTTTTGGAAGAGCATAAGGCAAATGATAGACATCTGATGTGAAAAACAGATCCCCAAGTGAAGGTCATTGGAGAGATCCCTTGCAAGGTCCTGGGATACCTCATGTCCCATTGGCACTCTATCCATGAGCATATTGGCAGGCATTTCCATCTACAAACTTTCAGCAATGAAGCCTTCAGAGAAAATCTTGTTGGATATGAGGACAAAGAAAATCCACACTTTTCAAATCTTACCTTGCAAGTTTCTTGTTCAACTCAGGTCTCCATCTTAATGGCCAGCTTTCTAACTCAGGTATCCTCCTGCAAACATGTATCCTAGAAACTGGAGTCTCACTCAGAAATCTGTCAGCCAATTGCTGCCCACATGGTTGTCAAGCAGCCACAAACCTCCTGATTTATATCCACATTTGAGGCCCAAATATGTAGCTTTCCACCTCACACAGTGACAGCCATTCAATCCATGCAATATTTTCCTTATTCTCCTTAGGCTGTGTCCGAAATTTCTTTTCAGTTGTCATGATCAAAAGAACTTGACGTATTTTGTGACATGGAGGAAAATTATTGGACAATTTCTTGTTCTTTCCTGATGTCTAGGCAGCCCAATATTGACTCCCACAGTACACTGATTTCTTTAAAAGTAATGGAGAGAAAAACTTTCATGAGGAAGAATGGAAATCCCACAGAGACTGGCGCTTCGCTTAGTTTTTGAGGGCTTGGATTGTAAGTCTGAAAGCCCTACACACAGTCTGTCCTGGACTATTTCTTCCATGGTAGTATCAGTTGGCACTGAAAGCCAGCAACCACTGGAGAAGTTCCTAAGTGATAGAGAACCCCAGGATTGCATGAATATGGGAAGTCCCTGCTTCATCTTTCCTGGGTTCTTGTGGTTCACATTTTGCAGAGTGCAATTTAGAGGAGGTCTGCAACTATGCCAGCAGAACACTGCACACAGTAGCCATTAGGTCCTGGCTCACTACATAGCCCAGTAACATTCCCAAGAGCCTATGATCAGCAGATTTTCTCAAAATTCAAATGTATCCATATAGAATAAAAATCATTAGAAATGGCATCCTAATCCCCCTTCTTCTCAGTTCCCCAGACATATCTTTGAGGTCTGCAATATTTTGGTGCCATGACTAATGAAGCTATCCCAATGGCCTATGCTCAGACATACTTAGAAGACATGTGAAATTACATAACTGAACCATCAGCAGTGTGTGAGCATCAAGTTTAGTCATATGCACCTTTTTGTGTTGTCGACCTTTCCCTATGGATCGCCATTTCTCTTGGGCTGAGATACAAGGTCCAAAGTCAAGAGTGTGGCATGGCTTCTTAATGTGTGTCATGGGATTACTATGCCCCAGTTGAAAAATGCTCAGTGACACTGGGATAGATGGACAGGATGAGGAATGAGTGCAGTGGCCTGAGTTAATGGGGACATAGAAGAGAGCTGAGTGGCTAAGGGGGTCACAAAGTATTACGCTGTAGGCTGCTGAAGGCATCTTGGCCACCTGCACCAAATTGAACAGTTTTAATAATGGCCTCCTGAGAAATTGTGTGCTCTTAATTGGAATCAGCTATGAGTTTCTGCTTTCTTTTTTTCATAGAGGAAAGAACATTACAACATTTTTCAAGGGCAGCTGTGCCTTACCGAGGAGATTGGTGTTCCCCTTGATAGGTTAGAAGCCAAAAATGCCTCAAGAGACCATGGAGTTAGAAGAAAACTGACAGGACCTTGAGATTTTCATGTCTATCTCTCCTAGGGAAAGCTTTTGTCTTCAATTTGGTAGGAATTTCTGTTACATTTTGATGTCAATCTACACATGGCATCAGGTAAATTTCTACTTCCCTCACCCTGCTTGAAACCACATGCTGTGTAAGTTGGCTTGCCTTGCCCTGTAGAACCATGAGAAGGGGACAGCAACATTTTCTCACTGCTTGAAATTCAGAGGACCCAAGTAGCAGTAACACTGAGAAACTCCAAGGGAAGTGTGCTTTCTCTTGACAATGGTAAGGCTGGGCAAACACCTAGTTACTCAAAACTTTGTAAAAGCTGAAAGTGAGGAAAAGGCAGTAGGTCTCTCCATAATGGCATTGGGTCACCACTGTAGCAGAGTTTGGAGAAACAGGAATTACAAGATAGTTTGGGACATCCCCAATGGAGTTGAAATTTCCATTGTCCAGCCAGGAGAGACATTGGCTGCAGGCCTGAAATTGTGTTTAAATGAGCAATAGGTTAGTGCAGATTGCAGGGTAGCAAAAATTTGGTAGGGAGAAAGATATTTGCCCAGGAGCTTACAGTAGTCACAAACAGTATTTTCTGTCATGGTAGTCAATACTTCCTCTCACAAGAATGCATCTTCCCACAGGATCATTGCCTGGAAAGAAAAAGATAAAACAGTGTAAAATTTTGATTAAAAGTTGTTTAGCCTCACACCATACTCAGAATAAATGTGTCAACATCTGGCAGCATTTCAGGATTTAGTGGGAGAAAACCTATTATCATATCACCTTAACGGTTTCCTTCAGAGATCAAGGACAATAACCCTAAAAATCGGAGTGTGTACTTGTCTGTCTCACAATTTAAAGTTAAAAATCAGAAGCATTTGGAAAAACCAACCAACAAAGTCAAAAAATTGAAAACCAAAGGTTTCACTGTTCTCTGAAAATATTTGGTATTAATATCTAGCAGAGATTTTTATTCTGAGCCCTGCCATTCCCAGATCCTCTGTCTCAGGGAATATCAAAAGAATATTCAACAGAACCTGTCAAGTAACATTCTGATTTGTGGGACCATGATACAATAGAAATATTCTAGGATTGATCCGTGGTATAATCCCCAAAAGTGCTGTCTAAGGAAATAGATACACTAGTTTTTGTGGTTTTATTCTGTAGTATTTTGTTTTCCCATTGCATCACTTGATGATCTCCTGGCTTGTGCTCCACTGGCCAAGGCAAGAGATTACACATGTGACAACAACCATGAAAATTTCACTTCAATAACATGATCAAATCATCATGAAATTTTCATTTGCCTTTAATCCTCAAAGATTTTTACATCAAATTGACTGGCTCTCGCTCTGTCCTTTGTTCTTTCCTTTGTCTTTCCTCTCTTCCATGTTGATTAGTTCATTCTGAGTACTGATATCCAAGATCCTGCATATTCCCATACATATTCACCTGTTAAACATGCTCAGGGGTAGTTTCTTTGTTTTTAGATGGCTACCCTTGAAATTCAGCTTCATCTACCATTTATGATTTCAAATACCATTTGCTTCCAGTGATTTTGCTGGTGAAAAATTTCACAGCCAGTTATTCTACTGTATGGTCATGAGGCAAAAAAGGCTTCCCTGAAGAGGTTATGGAAGAAAACTGATCCAAATGACACACATCTCAAATGGCAAACAGATGCTCAATGGAAAGTCATTGCAGAGATCCCCTGCAGGTCCTGGGGTAACTCATGTCCCATTGGCACTGTATCCATGGGCATATTTGCTGGCATTTCCATCCACAAACTCTGCAGTGCAACCTTCAGAGAAAATCCTGTTTGATACCAGGCCTCTGAAAATCCACCCTTTTTTGTTTTCTTGCCTTTCAAGTCCCTCTGTGCAACTTAGATCTCTTTGGCAATGTCCAGCATTCTGACTCAGGTCTCCTCCTACAAATATTTTTTCTTAGAACTTGGGGTCTTGTAAACAATGCTGCTCAGGCAATCACAACCAAGTGTGGTTGCCAGGCAACCAAAAGCCTCCTGATTTTTTTCCACAGTTGAGACCTCAATCTGCAGCTTTCCACGTCACACAACCAAAATAATTTGGAAATAATTTGGAATGAAATTTGAAAAGAAAAATATTATTTATTAAAGCACAGGCCTGGCAATACAGTCTTCAGTAGCCCATATGCCAGACTGTGTGCCTAAATGCTAAAAGACTGGGTGTTTATCCTGTAAAACCACAACCATCTGCTGGTCTCATAATGGAGGAGAAGTTATTGTGATGCACTATAGAACAGGGAGATGGTGGTTACTTTTCTCAGGTAAAGCAATGTTTAGGCAAGTTTTGAGCTAGCAAGCAAGTTAAGATTAGCTAAACATCCTCTAGGGAAGGCACATACAGCAAACAGGCAAGTTATCTTGCAAATAAATGAGTTATCCTTCAATTAATCAAATTTAGATTAGGAAGACATCCTGTTCGGCTCTTAGAGTGAATTTTGATTTTTCTCTTACCTCAAGGGAGAGTTATTAGGGGGTTTATATAGGTTACAACATTCCCCACTGAGTTTATGTCATTCCCCAATTCTTTGAGGAAGTTCCTAAAGTTGTTCAGCATGGTGGGTCAGTACCATTTCATATCCCTGTTGGCATAGCACCATCAGTTTAATGCCCTGTATTTCCTGATGCATATAGTAGGTCAATATATTGACTATGCAGGGTCCTTTATTTACTATTAATAAAATCTGCAGAAGGGGTCCTGCCAAGGTTGCAATTAACCTAGTGACCAATGGTGAGAAGTTGAAAATTTGCTCCACCCAGCCTTGAGCTCCTTTTCTAGATTTTTCTCATTCTGACAACCTTTATTGTAATTCTTCTAAATTCTGCCTAACAATCCCAGACTTATTAGCATATAGACAACATTGTTCTCCCAAAGCCAGACAGAGGTCCCCTCAATTAGCCAGCAACAGATCTAATCCTCTGTGGTTTTGTAGGTCCACCTCTGCCAGAGAATCAATGGATGTTTCTAGTGGAGCAATACATTGTGAAGCTGTTGTAGACCCGAGTCCTTTTGTCTAGTTAGAAGGTCAGTCCGATATAGGCTCAATACTAGTGAGATTGCCCCTAGTCCAATGACAGTTATTATGCTAACTCCAGACACTACTGGAAAAAGGGGGGTCCTTTTTACCATCTCATGTTCATGAAAAAGAATGGTGATAAATTCAGTTTCTGGGTACCACTAAACTCGAGGGAAAACTTGGACAAAAACACATATTTCTTGAGCGTGCTCCTGGAAGAGAGTTGTATAGGCACAGAGGGTTAATACAAAAGTACAGGTGCACCAGTGGCCCTCAGGGGCTGTCACATGCCAATTGATTTGGTTATGGTGGCTGCTATTGATAGAGATTGAGGTTGATAAGTTACAATACTTAGGAAGAGTATTGGATTCATTATATATATGTGAGTTCCATTTCCTCCTGTCAGGAAAGGGCCCCTCAACAAAACATTGGTTGACTTCTGGGAGAACATGGTGGACAAATAACAGCAGGCATGGAGGCTCTCTGAGATTACCAGCTTAGAATCCAGGAGTGGTGCCGTGTGAGGAGTCCCACGAGAGGGGAGATGTACCCTGCCGACCCAGGAACAAAGTAAGCTGAGAGAAACCAACTGGAAATGCAATTCTGATGCTATAACAGGAACAGATAAAGTGTCAGTGTGGAAGCTGGATCCCACGCCATTGGAAGCCACAATTTGAATTTCCTGCTGCTGATACTGCTTCCCAATTTGCACGGCAGGGAGAGAGGCGCGCCAAAGCTCTGAGAGTGGGAATCGGCCCAAACAGCGTCGAGAGAGGGACTGGCTCGACCTACAGTGAGTGAAATGGGGACTCTTTCATAGACAAGGAGGCTCCAACAGAGGACATTCTGGGAATGGGCAGACTAGCTGGAACACAGCCCTGCAGTGACTTTAGTCGCATATTCCCCTCAAGCGGGAGTGGTGGGGAGCACTTGGCCTGGTGACTCTGCGGACTAAGATCCTGTAGGCTAGCCCAAATCAGGTCCCTGTGCCTGGCGGCGCACCCTAGCAGTGAAACATTCAGTAGGTGGACCTGGAGGGGTGGGCCCAGCAGAGGCTGCGCAGGTCTGTGTCTCCCTAGTACACTGCAGTGGGCGGGAACACTCAGCCGGCGGATTCAAACAAACTGCCACAGACAAAGAGAAAAAAAAAAAAAACCTGAGCCTCCTACATACACTTGTATGGAAGGAACAAAAAGTATGGGAAAAGGGAGCAACAGGAAAGGCTCCTCAGACCCCAATCCTGAGAACACTGATCCAGGAAAGGTAAAAGCAAAAGAGAATGAAGACAGAAAACATGCAATATCAGACACGGCACCTGTAGATATAAAATGGTATCTCCGGAGCCTCATAGACGAGTTCAAAAATGAAGTATTTAATCAAATAAAGCAAGAAATAAGTAGAATAGTTAGAGAAATGCTAAGCACCACCCAAGAAAAAACAGATGGTGGAATGGAAGAACAGAAAAAAAGGGGAGAATTGTTTCATGGAGAAAATAGAGAAAACATAGAATACGTGAAGCAGGTTCACAGAGATTACCAGGAAACTAAAAACTGTATTGAAAGCTGGCATAACAGCTTGAAAGAAACTCAGGATAGATTATCAGAACTGGAGGACAGATTTGTAAGGTGGGAGCATGAAATGAAAAACTTCTTAAAAATAACAAGAAAACAAACAGCAATAATACAAAGACTAGAAGATGACAAGAGGATCTATAACTTAAGAATTAAGAACATAAAAGAAGAAGTAGGGACTCAAACAAATGAACTACAAAAGCTATTCACAGAAATAATTCAGGAGAATTTCCCTAATTTAGCAAAAGGTAAAGATACTCAGATGTATGAGGCATACAGGACCCCAGCCACCTACAACCCAAACAGAGCTACACCCAGACATATAATAATCAAAATTCCAGAAATCCAATATTAAAAGCCATCAGAGACAAGAAACAGATCACTTACAAGGGAACACCCATCAGAATTACAGCAGATTTCTCGGCACAAACCATCAAATCACGAAAAGCATGGGGGGAAATAATTCAAGCTTTGAATGATAATAACCTCCAGCCAAGATTGATATATCCTGCACAACTGTCCCTAGAAATTGATGGAAAAACAAGGTGCTTCCAGGATAAAGAGGAACTAGGGGAATTTCCAACCACCAATTCAACTCTACAGAGATTACTGCAGGATATTCTAAAAATGAAAAATACCAAGATTCCGGAAACAGTGGCAGAGCGGCCACAATGAATGGAGCAGAAAGCAAAATGAAGAGGACAAACTGACAACTAGTGACAGAAAAATAGCTCAGCAGAAATGAGGCAGAGAAGGTTGGATGGTAGGAACAGCCATTTCAGAGAAAACAAGACATCATAATAGGTAGTGCTGTTTAATATCCTCTTGTTTTGAAGTCCCATCAAGCTTTTGTTCTTCTGTCTCCATCGGTTTTAACGTGTTGTATCTTATTAGTCTTTATTATATGTGATAATATAAACAAAAATTTTATAGACAAGGAGATTATACAGAAACCATTGTTCATTTTCTGTTAGTTGATTCTGAATACCCTGTAATACTGTCATTCTCTTGAATGGTTT